CTGAAACCTGTGGGGTACCCATCCCTGGTGATGGCATGGGGGGCTGGAGAGGCACCTGGGCCTGGGTGGGCAGTGTGGCTGAGCTAGGACAAAGTGGAGGTGGCTGGGGGACATGAGAGAGCTGTGGTCGCAGTGTGTGGGGCTCGGCTGAGAAATGCCAGGTGCCATCCACCACTGCACAGTTGGTGTCTGGCATCTCTGGTGGAAATATTTAGGGATTGAAACAGCAGTTGTAAAATCACTGCCTGGGTGGTCAAACAGGACCAGGAACCAAACCTGCATTTAGCTAAGATGTTCGGGTCTTTCCTCACCTTTGATTTGAATATTTTAGTTAGGAGCATTGATGTGGCCATTTCTAGCTTAACTTGCTGCTATGGACCTGCCTCAGGGTGTAGATAACTTAAATCTATTTGGAAGCCAAGCCTAGTACAAACCAAGACAGGTGACTTTGTGGTGAAGCATTCCTAACTGAGAACATGATCTCTAGCCTCCGTGAGCTGTACAAGGCAGGTGGTATGTTAGGGGAGGGATGTCAGCAAGGGAGGGTTTATTTATTGTCTGCTAAATCTGTTCTTCCTGTTGCCTTCAGGGAATGGGAGTGGAGAGGATCCTAATGCTGAGCTTCCCACCACTGGACCTCACCCGAAAATATAGTCTCTAAATCCTTCTTTTTTACAGTTGTGTTATTAGATTTTAGTCAAAGGAGGCATCAGTCTTCTGGGTGCTGGTAGGAGAAAAGGCCAAATGCAGGGAGCATCCAGGGTTTTCTCTATTTGTAATAGTGACCACTGAATCTCCCCTTGTGCCATCCCACCCTGGGTGACATCCATCCACATCTGGCTCAGGCAGCTCTCCCAAAAAACGTTTCCTTGCTTTTTAATCCCTGTGGTTCAGCAAGCAGAGTGGGAGCAGGCTGGGCTTGCTGCCCCTCACCCTGGCTCCCTATCTCCCCCATTCCCTTCGTGAGGCAGGGACAGGGGGTGTGCCAGGCTGCCTGCAGGGCTGCAGTGTCCACTGACACTGCCATTATGCCCCATCTTCCCCTGAATCAGAGATGGAAAGATCACTTGCTCAGGTCTCTGAGCAGCCAGTGAGCCTCTCCGGTCTGGAGAGAGCAGGGATCTCCCAGTGCATCCCCAAAGTGTCCATCCATCAGGCCCC